AAGTTGTTAATTTTTATTATGTTAAAAAAATTTAATCACTTTTTTGCATTTATGATTTTCAACGTAATCAAACACTAGCATTTGTTATTATAGGGTTTCTAGACTTGGAGAGTTACACTAACTATTTTTCCTATCGCGTCATAGTTTTCACAAGACCTTTCAACTTGACATCCTCGATACTGAACTTAAAAATTGGAACCTACGTTGCTCGTCCCTCTTGAATATCTAAGAGACCACTTCCAATGCTCACTAGCAGTAGGACTCGGATTAGATATAAACCTGTTTGGTGTACTAATTGAAAATATTAGGTCAAACCTAGTACACACATTCAAATTCATTAGAGAATTAGTGGCATTTGAATATATAGAGGGTGTTTGACACTCATTTTTAAGGAAAAATGAATTTTAAAATAATATATTGATGGAAAATGTGTGGATGAAAAGTTTTTGATTTACGTATAATAATATTTTAATGAATAATACGTGGTTGAAAAAAAGAGAGAAAAATGAATTTTGAGTAAAATAGGAATCAAACGGGACCATAATTACAGTCGTGCATACAAAATCTGGCGCTAATAATTCAGATCGCTTGATTACTTGTTCAAAAATTCAAGAACATAAAATAGAATGAATAATGCTACTTGTACTCAATAAGATTACATAATGATCTACATACAGATGAGATGTAAAATCATATTTCACCACATCATGTATATGTAAATTATTATATAAACCATTATATACATGTAACATAACCAAAATGAATTCCCCAATGATCAAACTACATAATCCAAAATCTGGCATTCCTAATTCGATCACTAGAATATTTAAATTTCATTTGTTCAAAAAATTCAAGTACGTGAAATTAAATTCTCCAGTAGATCAAACAGAATGGAATCAAATTCTGGCACTAATAATTCAGATCAGGGGATTACTTAATAAGGATACAAATTTCCCTTGTTCAAAAAGTTCAACCACATAAAATGGAATTCTGACAAAACAACGTGAATCCAAAATTTGGTGCTAATAATTTGGACAAAATAAAATATCCCAAGTGGACCCTCACTTTACAAGCACTTCCCTGTCTCATTATAAGTTTGCATTTTAAGCCTTTTTCTAGCCAGTCTACCAGTTCAAAAATTTCTCTATCACAACTCCACCTTTTCACTCTCTTTCCCCATGGTTTCCATGGAAGAATCCTCCAAGAATCTGCAGCTTCCGGTTTCTGATTCCACCGCTGGCGGCAAAGGTAGCAAGAAAAGCCCCACCATGACAAGGAAAGGTGCCTGTGCTGCCATTTCTTACATGGCTTGTGCTGGTTAGTTACAACTTTCTCTTCTTCTTCAGAACTACCAGTTTATGAAATGTCCTCTGTGTTCTTTTCCAGCTTAAATCTGTGTTTTCCAGCTTAAATTTGGGTTTTCATTTTATTGGTCATAAGTTTTTGTATGTGATATGTGGGTGTGTTAAGAGTTCCTGAAATTTGAAGTAATATTTATTTATTTCTTTCTTACTTTTTGTATCAGGATGACAGTAATACAGCACTTTTCTTCCAGATAATATTTGTCTCAGTATTATGTTATGTGTTACTTTTTATCACTGACAATTTCGTTATTAAAAATTATTGAAATGCATGTTTGGTCCCTAATCGATTGAGAAAGTAGAAGTGGGTGCTAACCTTTCAAAATAGGTGGAAAACCAGTCCTCACAGATGTTTATATTGATACTCCCTGCCTTTTCAATTAGAATCTTGCTACATGTACATCAGGATTACATAATGTCATATGACAGTTTACTATTTGTCAGTTTAAAATATATCCAATTTTTTTATTCAATCTTTTTTCACCATATGATATTATGTAATCCCTTACGTACAATTTTAATATACAAATAGCAAAATTATTTCAATTATTACATAAACATGCAAAAACAATTACAGCAAGAGTACTTTAATTTTCAAAATGTGACAGAGTAGAAATGTGATGAGACTAATAAAAAAAATTGAAGAAAATGTTACTTAATCAAGTCATACAAATAATAGGAAAAAAAAGAACCTTAATTTTCTTATTCAAAACCGAACACATAGAATACGGTTTAGCATTTTAGAGGAGGAAAAAATGATTTACTAATAGTATATTACGAAAGGATTGTAAATGAACTCATGAAAAAATTACAAACTTATAAACTATGACTTGCTCATTTGATGCATTTTCTCCTTCGTAAATCATCTCTATTTTATTAATCTAACACATTTATTTGTGTTCGTTTGTTAAATATTTATATATAAACTCGTTTTTATATATTTCATAATTTTATTTAGCCCCTGTTTGGTTTGACTAAAAAATAGATTTTTAGTAATTTTAATAGAAGTTGATGAAATATATTGTTGAAAAGTTGATAAAATTTGTAAGTCTCATAAAATAGGTGATTAAAAATGAGTTTGAAAATGGATTTTAAAAAATCGGAGCCGAGGCTTAAATAAAAATTACACATATTCACGACGATTATTGTTTTAGCTAAAAGCAATGCTCACATATAAATTTTAAGTATGAAAAGCGTTTTAAGAATGAGAAAAAAGAGGAAGAAGGACAATTTTAATATTCTTTAATAGTAATAATAAAAATAAAAAGATAAAATGATAAGTAAATATTTGGTATTTGCTGATTCGGAGAATTTGATGCCAAAAACAGACTTTGGGGAGGTTTTTGTAATTTTTGGAAAGAGAGGAGTGTATTTGTAGTTAGCTCTATGCTTTTTGTTTTTTTCCCCAATAAATCATATTTGAACTGAGTGTCATTGTCATTCATACTTGAGGCCTTGTTTCTCTACCTAACTTTTCATTCAATTTTATGCATGTTTTATCTGGTGAAACCCCATTTACCTTTCTCTTTGTGTTATGTGCCTATCAGTTTTTCTTTAAATTGTCTCAAATCAATTAACTTCTTTTTAGTTGTAAGGTCAAAGTTTACTAGAGATTTTAGTGGATATATCATGTACTGGATCTACTTAACATCCAGATTACCATTCCATGATTTTGAACATGTTAGAAACTAATTTGATACCGTCATTCATCTTGCTTATGCAATCGCATTCATCATAATTTTTGACAGTTTTCATAGGCTACTGTCATCTGCTGTTAAAACTTTCTCTTTTGTAATTTATTCTGCAGTTCTATTGGTAATATTCAACAAAGCAGCACTTTCTTCGTATAATTTTCCATGTGCAAACGTCATTACACTTTTTCAGGTAACTTTCGTGCATATGTATATCACACAGAGAATAGGCTGATGGTCACAATGTATGCATTTTTTTCCTGAATGCAAATACCACGGATAGACAGCATTAAAAAAATTTAATGGAAAAATGGGAAGAATTTCGGCAATAAAAGTGAAACGAGCCGGTTAAAGGTTCCTATAGAACCTCAAATTTTATTCTTGTGGTGATTTCAAAGTTTCGATTTCTGAAATTGAAATACAGCAAATGAGAGCTGCATAATAAAAATAAATATGAGATCAAGAATAACAAGCACTTAGAGATCTATATGAGGACCATCTTTGTGATTATTCTGTTCTTCATGAGTTTCATTCATTTTTTAGCATCAAAAACTTGTCTTGAGGCATATCTTATACAGGACATGCTATCTCTTTCTCGCGCAACTTCAAACAAACTCGCACGTCATAACACCAGCTCATACCAACACAGAGAGGCATATACAGACACACGACATCTTATTTAGTCTCCAAATGATATTCCTTCTTAGTTCAACTTCACTCTCTTCTTGGTGATCTGATCTCCTCCTTTAAGTTAGGAATAGTCTTCTTTTACGATTTTATATTGATGCATGGCCCTCTCCTTTTATTTTTTATTGTTATCCTACATGAATTCGTGATTGAAAGTTCCAAATGAGCCTCAATATCCTATGATGTACAAAACGTTGGGTCAAACAAAAGCTTAGGATTGGTACCAGTACTTTTTTGAAGCCATGTAAGGTCGGAGAAGATTGATGCTTAAAGTTCATTTCAGGATCTTAATGATTTAAGACGTATTGCCATATAATTTTAATATACAGTTTATTTGCATTGTATATTTTCATGTCCGGGTTTCATGTGGAATCCTCCAAGCTCCCGTACTTCTCCAGGAATTCGATTATAGCTGCTTATAGACAATTATTTGTCAGCTAAATTTTACTAAAAGAATTTTAGTGAAAGTTTTTGATTTCATTGATGAGGATCTTCTGCCGCTGTAGATGCTTTGTTCATGTTTGTTTCTCTACGCATTGAGATGTTGGAAGATTATTTCTTTCACATCCGATCAAACACTCGGCTTGACCAATCACCCGGCGAAACTTGTACCACTGAAGTCTATAATTCATACCCTTCCTTTGGCAATTTCATATTTGCTTTACATGGTAGGTACACCTTGGTTTACTGGCTCCTTTTGGTATCTTGCCTTTTCCTCCTCGATGTTATCTGTTTGTTTTTTTCACAGGTCATCTCAATGGAATCTATACGCGGGATCAATGTCCCTATGTACACGGCCCTTAGACGGACAACTGTTGCTTTTACAATGATGGTGGAGTATATTTTGCTGGGACAGAAACATTCGCAGTATGTTGTAGGCAGGTAAGAATTTCTTTTGCTGTCGCTTACAGTCCTTACTAAGTTTTGTTGGTGCAATTTTCACTCCCTATCATTATTAGACCTATGACCTATGATCATATGTCATTGTAGATTTTAAGGTTTTCAGAGGCAATAAATTATATGATTTTGCACTACATATGTTGTTGTTTCATGGATATAGTGTTTGGTTTTACTCGCAAAATGCTTACACGGGGTCCATCAGTGTAGGAACAATCTTTTTTCCTTCATATCTTTACTTTTCTCATCCACCACATAAAGAATTCCCAACATTTGATTTTTTATGATAATGATTTTGATTCTATTTCAGTTAAACATTGCGGGTCAATCTCTTGGTTTCTTGGGATCTGGCCTGTACGCATACTCTAAACTCAAAGGGAAGTAATGACCAAAATTTTGATTGAAAATAACGTTAACTATAGTCGAGGGCATCCCGTATTTTTGATAAGTTTGTTTGTGTTACTCAACTTGATTGAACGATCATATGATTATAGACTGCTACAAATACCATTAGAAAATTTTGAAGATGGGAATAAAGGAGATTCAAACTTCAAAGAGTAAATTATATTGAGATTATGGAGCTGTTGTAAGTTGTGGGAGATGCTAAATATTGAATGTGACATCTTGCAATATTTATTTAAGTGGTGAAGTAGTCCACCACTGGGTGGATGACCTTTTTATACATCTACTTCTTTTGAATATATATATTATCAAATGATACTACAAAGCCTCTTGTTAAGACCCTACAACTTGTAGGTTGTCGGGTGCTAGCTGTTAAGGGATACAATCCCACATCGAATAAAGATAAAAACATAAATCAACTTATAAGATTTTGGACTACTCCTCTTAATAAGATTGACTTTTTAAGATTGAACCCCAAACCTTAAAATGGTATCAGAGCCCATTAACCTCCAACGAATGACTCGATCCGATTAAAACTCAATAAATGAGCATATGAATTTCAAGATTGGTCTTGCTTAAATGAGCTATCATCTTGTGGGGGTATGTTAAATGATATAATCCCACATCGAATAAAGATGAAAATATAAACCAATTTATAAGATCTTTGACTACTTCTCTTAACAAAGTTGATCTTTTAAGATAGAATCGAAGTCTTAACACTAGCTTCATTGGTAAAAAAAAAAAAAATTCTTATATATTGGGTGGCCGTGGCCGCTCTAGCTCAAATGAATTCTTGGATCCGCCATTTGTATCCTTTCTGATTGGGAGCAAGAGGGGTAAGTTCAGGCAGTGAAAATTAATCCATAAAAATGGTTAAGAACTGTAAAAAAGGAGTCTACTTTTGATTATTTGTGGCTATAATGCTTGTAGTTAGTTTAGACAGTGAAAAGACCATGTCCCCCACAGGTGGCGAAATTAGAGCGAAAAAAGTCAAACTGAGGGAAGGATTTTCTTTCGCTTTTGGCATAGTGGGTCCAGTTTGCGCCCTCGACCCATCTACGAAATGCATAACTTCCCGGTTCATAAGTCAGGAGCAAGTGATTTTGGAAGCAGCAGATTGAGAGTTGGAGAAATTCAGAATACATAAAAATTCTCAGAGACAACTTGAATTTCATGCATGGTAAGAAAATTATTTGTTGTCTCCCCAAATTGAAAACTTATTATTGGCTAACTGCCATGCATGTTTGGTACATACCCAACACCCATATAACAAATTAGAATGTTATTCATAGTTAGCGATTGCTATAGTCATTCTTATGTGGTAGTTTGTTATTTAATGTATTAACTTGTTATTCGAGGTAACAAAAATTATCGAAAATTAATGTCTCAAATAATAAGCGGTAACATAAGGATAATTATTGCAGTCGTTGACTATAAATAACATTATTCAATAGTTTTTGTTCAACTCTAATTTGGTAGGGTTTTGTTACTATTCATCTATGAAAATTATGTACGTATAGATGAAAAGGTTGAACTTATTCCAATAAATTAAATTTTATACGAGATAATGAGAATCAAACTAGACAAAGGCACACTAAATGTTTGATTGATCTTTCTCAACCTAGACATCTATCACGTGAATTTTTGAAAGTTTAGGTTATTGATAAATAAAAATTAATATACCAAGTTAATAAATATTCTTAGTTAAAGTCTTGCGTGAAGCGACTTGTGAAACAATGTGCCGTGCCAAGCTTAGACAAATTTGTGAATAAAAAAAAAATGTTACATAAAATATTTTAAAAAATTTATACAATTAATGGGTTGGGGCTGGCCTGTACCCCCCTAAATTGCCACCTGGTGAGCGCTCGCTCAGTTGAGTCGTGAGTTGCACTCTTGGATCGAGAAATTCATGAATCGAAATCTTGATGCATATAGATACAAATGATCCAATAGGAGCAAGAATTTTCAAGAGCATTTTATTTTCGAATAGAAGAGGTGTTTACAAGTAGCGTTCGATCAATTATATAGATACTAATTGATATTCGATTGATTAGTTTGAGGATTTAAAATGCATTAAATTATAATCGTGCAAGGAAATTAGAGGTCCACTTGGCCCCTATTTCAATCGCTAAAGTTGTATATGAATGAAACAATTTTATGGAGAGAAAAGAAAAAGAGAGAGAGACCTAGGATCTGATGATGAAAGAAGAAAAATGAGAATGTGGTTGCACGCGGACTGGTCTTCTCAAATCATTAGTATATATAGTTTAATGGAGACACAAGGCCACGACTGGAGGATGACTCTTCAAAATCAAAGGGCCCTTTATTTTAGGTCTCCAAAAATATCATTAAAGATTAAAGAAAAGGGTTAGCAACCCCAAGAATATTGTCCCCCATTGCACCTTCAAGGCTCCCCTCCTTTGACGCCGGTGTCGCCGCCTCCTTTTCATTCAACCTTCGAAATTATCTTATGTTAAGTTATTATTCTATGTCCGCCCATTTGAAAATTAACAATTTTGATGATGTGAAAATAATATCGTTAATTTTTCAAACGATTCGAGGTGACAGATTGAAGACAACGTTAAAAGTTTAGTAATTGTTCAGAAAAATAATATTTTTTTGGAGAATATATAACACATGTTTGGTACCGATTAAAATCTAGATATTAAATTAATTCAAAGTCAATAATATATTTCAACCACATATTTTATAAGTCCCGCAACTTTTCAATCATATATTTCATCAACTTCTATCAAAATTTACTAAAAAATTGATTTTAATCTTCACCAAATAGAGGCATAGATAAAAAATAGAGAAAATTGTGACTCACATAGAAATGATTTTTAAAAATCTTTGACAAACAAGATGAAGTAAAAAATAAAATAAAATTATGTTTATTTGAATTTAATTTTGGTGAAAGTGCATGTTTTTAGAAAGGTAAAAGAATATCTTTTGTAGGTACACCAATGGAACCTTCTTTATAGACAATCCTTCGCTGACATTCTGCACTCGTGTTTCCAACTCACCCACACACTTTTCGTCCTCTCTCATCAACTTAGTTTACCAATCATGTTGAGTCGTGCCATGTCAAATCGAGTCAAGTTGAGCCGAATCAATTTACATTGGGTCGAGTTGGTTGCAATAAGGCTTGAACAACCTTCTTATTATTGTTATAAAAAATTTTCATTCAAATTTAATTTTTGGGGCTGGCCCACTCAGAACCTCAGTATTGATGCGATCTCAGATTAGTAATGTCGATAAAGATAAAGTTTGTTTTAATAGTTTAAATTTTAAATATAATGGTTCAACTTGTTATGTAGCTAAATATTCTGAATTGAAACTTTACTACTACTGGTTGATAAAAATTGCATTTTTATTAAAAAAATAAAAATAATTGAATCTAATCTCATAAAGGGGTATGTTTTAGACAAAAAAATAATGAAATAATCTTGTTTCTTCCAATATATCTTTAATTTTTAGATGAAATAAATCACATACGTGTAATACTAAAAAAGAAATTAGAAGAAATTATATACTAATTAATAAATTAATAAACATGTAATATTCAAAATTAAACTATTTACCTAAAACGAAACGAGATCTCAATTTCCCCTTCATGTATGGTTACCTAATGTTATGGAGGGACCTACTCCCATTTTGGTTGGGTTCTCCCAATAACTAAAAAATGTAGCATGCCTGAATCTAACTGTGGAATCATATATTGAAAATATAAGTATATATGGGAACTAGTGAATCAAGCACTAGTATTACTTGTTTAATGAACGTGAGACATCATGTACTCATATTTAAAAATGATATAAATAAGTAAATACAACAATTTAATCTCTGATTTGGCTCCTCTATCAAATACAAGCATGATCAAAATCTAGCTAGGTCAAATAAAATAATTTAACGTAAGACAGGTACAAGAAAAAAGGGATTTGTTAGGGTTATTTGGTAGAGAATATTTCAGGTGCATGCGCAAGACAAGGAAAAGTGTTTGATTTTTAATTAATATTTTGAGTAGAAGCTAAGCATGAGATCCCTAAAAGTCTCTTTCACATCATTCTCCTCACCTTCTTCTCCTTCTCATCCCGAGGCTAAACCCTACCTTTGTACATTCTTCTTCCTCTCAAATCCATTTGCTCCACTTCGTTGTACATAAATACGTATCTCGTTGTGATGATGAATACCTATATCCTAAGTTGAGAAAATTTTGAGACGACCCAAAAAGCACTTCATCATATAATTCTTTCTTCCTTTCTAGTGGTAACTTTGTTGCTTCTAGTTATAATCCTAGAGCATTCCAATGAGGCCCTTGATCATCATTTCAATGCATTTTATATGGTCCCTCATTTTTGTGATTGTATCATTGTAAAGGCATTTAGGTTTCACTTTGTCCTCATCTTTTAAACGATTATTCATAAAATTCATTTGTGTTATATATTATTTTTTATTATGAATATAAAAGTTAGATATTCTATAGGATTGAATGCTAAAAATTATTCTTTTTTTTGCCTAGTTTTTCATTTTTCTCGGATTTTTAAAAAAAATAATCATACACAAAAAGGGTCTTGATTTTACTCCATTCGCGGAATTAAAGTCATGACTTTTCATGATCCCACATCAAAATTGCCACCCCCAACCACCAACATAAGTTTCAACTACGCCTCTTACTAATCCACCCAAGTTCATGTCCCACTTAAGATGCCTTAGAATGATTCTTGGATTGTCTTTGTGTTGCAATGGGGGACCATATTTTTAGCATTCCTAATTCAATATATGTGCATAGCCCTTTATATTGAAGTTGAAAAAAAACATTCAAAACTTGAATATTGGTTGAAATGTCAAAAATTCACGAGTACTATACGATTGAGAGATGTGG